GCTGTAAATTTTTAAATTAAAATCAAGTTAAAAAATGGTTACACGAATCCAAAAAAGGAGAAAATATTTAAATCCCGGTTAAAAATTAAATTTTGGAGTTTTGGAAGTCTTCCAATATCACATTTTAACATCCAAGATAGTAATCCATTTCCATCATCTCCTGCTGATCTAATTTCCACACCTAATAATAGTCCTTACGGAACTGAAGTAGAACGTGAAGCTATGAAAGCAACATTAGAACCATTATTACAGGAAAATGCTAATATCGACATGAAAAATACATACTGTAATTTACCAGGCGCTATTATCCACTTAAATACAAAGCCAGGATGCATCGCTTTTAAGAAACAATACCCTTTGCCATATGCATTTGAAACTTCAGTACGAAAGCAAATCAATACATGGTTGGAGGAAGGCGTTATTGAAGTAGCTACATCTCACACCGGTTTTAATTCTCCATTATTAGTTGTGGGAAAAAAGAACGCCGATGGTATCTTCTCTTTTGACAAAATTCGTTTAGTCACGGATGTCCGAAATTTGAATTCTATCCTCACAGTTACTGAAACTCAGAGTTATCCATTAATTCATGATATATTAGGTCGAATCGGTAATGCTGAGATGCATACAATTATTGACATTAAATCTTGTTTCAACAGTTTCCTTGTTGCTGCCGAAGATCGTCATAAATTGTCTTTCACATGTCCTTATTCTAACAGGCAATATTGTTTCGTCAAAATGTGCTTCGGTATCACTTTTGTTGGTAATTTGGTACAACGAGTACTCCAAGAACTTTTTTCTGATCTTCCTTACATCCAATTATATGTTGATGATTTGACAATTAGTACAAGTGGTCCTCTGACGTATCATACTGAATGTGTTGCTGAAGTATTAAGACGTTTGACTAAAGCTAACTTGGTTATTGCACCTGAAAAGGTTGTATCGGCACAAACTAGTATTCACCTGTTCGGTTGGTCATTGGTGAAAGGTGGTGGATTAGCTCCTGATCATCGAAAGGTCAACAAAGTTTCCGAATTTAAAATTCCCACTACTACCAAAAAGCTGCAATCTTATTTAGGTTACATGAATTTTTTCCGCGCATCTATTCCTATGTATGCACATATTAGTGATAAGCTCGATAAATTGCGTAACATCAAAGATTTACCTGCTGCTTGGACGGATGAACACACAAAAGCTTTCAACAATATGAAACTTGCACTAGTGTCAGCTCCACTTATCCATTGTATCGATTACCAATATCCTTTGCATGTTTCTACTGACGCATCCAATACGGGTATTTCCGGGGTATTATATATGCTCGTGAACACTGAAAAACGATTTGTGGCTATGGCTAGTCGAGCTTTAAACACAGTTGAATCATATTACAGTACAACACGTCGTGAATTATTAGCTATTGTTTTCTGCTTTGAGCGATTCAGTAAATGGTTGATTCAAAAGCATTTTACATTACATACCGATCACCGATCTCTTATTTATCTCCACAGTCAAGAAGTGCCAAATCACTTGTTACTGACTTATTACGAGACACTATTCAGTTTATCATATGATGTTGTACATTTGCCGGGTCATTTAAACGACATTGCTGATGCCGGTAGCCGTTTATTCACGGAGGACTATCATTTGAAAGGGGGAAAAATTGTTGATGAAACAACTTCTTCTTTCATCACCAAGCGTAAAAATAAACACGATAATCCAGATACACAGTCACAAATTTCAAATCCAATTCAAAAAATTCAATACAAGAAGCGCAAGGCTAAAGCTATTCCACAGCTCAAAATATCTTCGACTTTTTATAAGAAAGCTATGAAACAACATGGAAACGATTATATACAAAACGTTAAACACGAATCTAAGAATCCAATTGCATTACCTACACGTACATGTACTACTGGTACTAACACTACACCTATAGTTTTAAGAGCTTTACGGTTTGCTGACTACATGACTCCACCTGAGAAAGAACGTGATGATATTATCAACAAAGCACACCTTTTAGGACACTTCGGTACAAAGGCTGTAGAAGATGTTTGGGATGGAGATAAAATGTAAATTAAGGTAACAAAAAAAAAATACTGGAAGACTTCCAAAACTGTTAATTCATCAAAATTAAACGGACTTAAAAATATTTTTTACGATGTGTAACCAAAAATTAACCTTAATTTTAAGACATTTTCTAATGCTTAAATGGAGAAAAGTTAATTGACACCCCCACCCCCCTTAATTAACTTGAAAATTAACTTCAAAAAAAATTAACTCAAAAAAAAAAATCTTTTTTACATTTTCTTTTAAAACTTTGCATGCAATAGGCTTTAAGGATTATGAAAGTAAAATAAATGAATTGCGAAGAGTTTGTTTATAAAAAAATAATTTTATTGTGCTCTTTTACGCTTATTTGAAACGACTTTTTTACCCTTTTCAGAAGAAGTAGGAGATGGTTCCTAAAAAAATGAAAAAAAAAGGCATTTTTTAGTAAATACAAGACCTAAAATATATCACAATTGTAGGCGAGAATTTGCGGGCAAGATTTTGAGTATGCCAAGAGAAAACGCAGTTGGTGTAGATAGAGGTGATGTGGCAACTCAAAAAAAGCATGCCGTTATTACGAAGCATCGTCAGGCAGTAGAATGGGGAATGAGAGCCATACAAGGGTCATTTGGAAGGCTGCATGCAAAACTTCCTTCTGATAAGGAACAGCGTAGAGATATTTTGACCCTTCACCCCCAAGGATTTTTTTTTTGATTTTCCGAAGCGATTTGGGGGTTGTCCGTTTCTCCTTCCTCTTTTAGACAACTGGGGGGACTGGGGGTACCGTTGATGGGGGGTCTGTGGATATTTGGGGGTTCATCATTAAAAATTGGGTTTGAATGCAAAATGAATTTTTGGTAAAAATGGTTTGGCTTTTATTGGTTTAAAATATTATATATTGCTAGCAAAATTTGACACTAAAATAGCGCTTATAACGTACAGCATGGCCCCAGCAGTATATTAACGCTGCGCAATTTTGCACATGCTTGATACGTTTTTATTTACGCGTTGAAGCATAGTACTTCGGATACCAGAGAAAGTTACGATGGAGGGACTTACCTAGATAATTATGTCAGTTTCTGCTTTTATTCGCGTAATAAATTTTACATACCTTTAGTTTCAAATGATATCGATAGTAGTAGTAGAGCTGCGAACTATATAGCAATGACTTAGTTACTGATGCCTTTTCAATTTGGTATTAATAAGTACTTACTTTTATATAGATCTTTTGCGCCTTGACTAGTAGAGAATGTGTTAGAAATAATCATATGGAACATGTATTTGCTTTACCTCTATTCAAAACAACCATCAATGTATGATCACCTCAAGAATCTTGGGTAGTAAACGCTAAACGTTCCAGTCAGTATGGACATTAAAAAATATTCTTTTTACTTTACCTTTGTAATAAACGAAATAAAACTGAAAGAAAGAGAAAAAAAAGGATGATGTAAAATGACAGGCTAAAATAGTGCCAGAATTTAAGTCCGTCATGACATACTTCCAGGTATAAATACAGCCTACCATCTGGCGTTTTTTTAGCTCTTCTACCACTTCTCATTTTTAAAAGTAAAAACATGAACAGCAACCATTTACCTCAAACAGGTGTTATCAATCTAAGACCAAGCAATAACAGATCAGATATTACATGTCCTTGGTGTCCTGAAGATACAAGACAAATTTCTTCGACTGCTTTTGCGAAGCACGTTTCCAGAAAACACCCAAATGAATTAGGATCCGATACGTATTGCAAATTTCGCGACTGGAGACAAACCAGAAGGTACTATATACTTACTAATTTGCGTATCCCGTAACTAACCCCTAAATATTGAACAGAGCTGGTCGGTTTTCTACGGAAGATGCTGAATCTATTTCAATCAACTCTCCTTTGTCTTTTGGAAGTAATGACTTAATGGCGCACTACTACACTGTTAATCCCAACGCTAATGAGGATTCAGACGATGAAAATTTTGATGAAAGTCCTCCTGCAGAACGAGAAAATCTTGACATGTAAGTTAACAGATTTATGTATATACATGTGACTTACAGAACCACATTTGTATTTGATTATTTCATGGAATTAGGCTAGACAATGATGTGTACAGTTCTGATGAAGAGGATGGGGACAATGATAATTCTTTGAACGATATCACCGAGAGTTACATGATGAACACGATTCTCCCCATTTCTCGTAATTTTGAGCAACAATCTGAAGGCTCGCCATCTGAAACGGCTCAAGAAGATCTGGATAGATTGAACTATGCGAGAAGTCATATGGAACAGAGGGATCATCTACCTGATATGCCTAATCCATTTATATCTACTGTAGAAGGTCTTCTTCATGCGTTTTTTTATGGTGATGAAGATCTTTGTTCTGAAAGGATGGTGAAGAAGATTCTTTATCTCTTAAAATTTTTTTGAAGTTGCAAGAAGCGTCGGCGACCACCTTGGTGCTTCCAAAGCCTGACAGGATCTACAACTTGCACAAAAGGCTCAAGACAAAGGTCCCAGTTTTCGAGCCAGTAGAGCATAGGGCAAAGAACAAGAAGGGTGAATTGAAATCCTTTTTCATGAACCCGCCCTCCGAGTTTCTGAAACACTTGGCAGCAACACCAAACATGATCAAGGAGATGTCAACTTTGCCTGACTTTACGGTAGACCGATGCATGGATCTAAATCATGGTGAAAAATGGAGAGAGCATCAAAACTTTCAAACACCAATGCTTACCAATGGCAATAAAGATTTTTGGGTTGGCGACCTTATCAAGGATACATGTGATGGCTACTGGCTGATCAAGAAATTTTTTTCTGCGGGAGAAACAATTACAGAAGAAGGCCATTCAGTAAAGCGTGTCTTTGCTGAGGCAGTTCCAGTAATCTGTAACGAATTTGGTAGAAGTGGTGATATGCCATTCTTGTCTGGTGCGAACACCAACTTTGCTATTGTCAATTCAACTGTTATGCTCCCTTTGAATGATATTGTTGCTACTGTTCCTAAGGCTCCCAACTTCCAAGGGTCAGGCTGCACTGTCAAATACAATCAAGGCCGTTTTGATCTGATTCGTTATGGTATTGATGATGAACTGTCTCGCCTCTGGTTCGGCACAAACTTCGCCAATCGTTATAAGCGTCTTGTCCCTGGCTCTCCACTCAACAGCCCAAAGTTTCTGAAGGTCGTTGTTGCTCCTATCATTCTTTGGTCTGATGACACATCTGGTAACAAGTCGAAGCAATATAATGTTTTTGACAGTTATTTGATGTACCTTGGTGCCATGTCTCTGGAAAAGCGAAGCCGTAGAGAAAATACCATGTTCATTTGTACATCAGACAAGAACCTGCAAGCGGTTGATATGTTGGGCGCAATTGTGGATGATCTGTCCAAACTCGAACAAGGAATTGAAGTGTATTCTTATGATCACCAAGAATATGTCCTTCTCGTCGCTCCTTTGCTTTTGTTTATGGCGGATAACCCTCGACACTCACAATTAGCTATGCACAAAGGTACCAGCTCCAAGTTTCCCTGTCGCAAATGTCTCCGACCAAAAGCAACAAACCTGTCAGACATTCTTCGCTCTGATCCGGACACCTTAGAGCCTTACATCTTACACAGGTATGATGGAAGAACATTAGCACAATTGAAGGATGTACTTCGGTGTCAAGAAGAAGACAAGCCAAGATACAAAACCTACACTGATATTTTCAGTTTTTCTGTAAATGGTAGTGAAGAGTTTTTACGTCTCCAGTCGTTCGACCCCACATTGGATTGTCCTGTCGAAGTACTTCATACTGTTCCTCTTGGGTGTATCAAATACCTTGTAGATTATTTGATTAAGCAGATACTATCCGTTGCAGAGCGAGAGCGTCTTGGTAATGCTATTTCGAATGGAAGAAACAACCAGGCATACTCCAGAACATTTAGAAACAATCTTCGCCATTGTGGTTCATTTGTTGGAAGAGATTACAAGCATTGATTCAAGTACTGCCTATCATTATGCGCAAGGTATTTCCAAATCCAAACACGCTTCTGAAGCTTTTTACGCAAGCATTTGCAAGTCTTGGTCAGTTATGCTCTTTGATCTATATGCGAAACGTTGATTGTCGATTTGAAGAATACAAAAGAATGTTTAGTAATGCTTACTATAGTCTTCACTAATGACCTGTACTGTCTAGATGATTACCTGGTCAAGAACAAAGATAATGCACCCATGTTTTCTTTGAGACCAAAGGTACATATGTTGCATCATTTACTGGACGACATCAAACGGTTTGGATGCCCTCTTCAATACGAGACTGAAAGTTCTGAACAGTTCAACAAGTTTATCCGTGAGCATCTTTTCATGACGAATAGGTTATATACGTCTCGCGATGTTGCATTTCGTTTTGGAAAACAATTTATCTGTCGTCAGGTATTTAGTGGGCTCTCGTTTCTTTACATCAAGCGATGGAAAGAGAACGGCATTTCACGTCATGGTTTATTTCGTGGTGAAACTGGTTCCTCCATCAAAGCCCTGATAACCAATAATCCGTATTTCTAGAAGCATTTCTTTGGTGCTAGAGAGAACGTTTCTGACAGCGACTATATTTTGAAGTCGAAGGTGGTCGCCAACCTGTCAGGCCTGTTCGAGACCAACAGTGGCTTGATGTTAGGTCAAATTGAAACCGATGACGATGGCGATTTGATCCTACGTCGATACAAATTTGCACGCAACGTTGCTGGTTCTTCTTCCTCTTGGTTGCCAGGTACACTGTCGGATGCAGAGGCTAATGTCTTCATTAGATCTCATTCTACTGTTGCTGTCGATGATTCCTTTTCGTGTAAAGAAGTAATGGACATAAGCTTCGTCTTTAATGCAGCTGCTGACATTCGTGTCATTAATGTGTCTAAGTTCGGCTCTTTCTGGTCTGTCGTTTGCAATCATGCCTCCATATAAAAAACACATGTAATTTTTTTTGAAAAATAAAATGCTTTTGACGCGGGTTAAAAATGCCACGGACGTAATTGGCTACATCGCTTGATCCCCCCACGAAAAAAAAAAAAATGGACTAAAAATTTTTAAGTTTACGGTTGATATCTATTCCGAGGCTCTAGGCCAATAACACATATTAAAAAAAAATCTGTCCTTAATCCATTCCTTAAAGGGAAAAAAAACAGTGCGAGTGATAATGGATAAGAAATTAGTTCGTGTTGTGATGTAATAACGTATGGGATGATGAAATGAGATTTAATTTAGTAATGTTTTATGGTGTGACACCCTGAAACTTTTTACCGGTCTAAACATATTTTGGACAGATACCGGCGGTCTTTTTTAAAGATTGCACCGATACCGATTTTTAAAAAAAATGAAAATCACTGCAAAATCGAGTTTTGTAGTTTAATAAACATATATTACGATACCTATATAACTTATATGATTAAAAGAAAATTTATTAAGTTAATACGGTGACCGCAACAGGGGGTCAAAAAGTGTATCTTGTTCATTACGCGTTTGGTGTTACACGATTAGGCTTTTTTTGTATCGTGCTTTCAATTGACTTACGCTTTTTTTTTTTTTTTTTTTTTTTTTCACTTCTTCGCTAGTTTTAACGGACGAATAACTATCAAAACATATTCACTTTTTAAATGTCTCTATGACAAAGTATTGACATTTTTTTTGTCACATATATATTACAAATAAAATGTTTATAGTATTAAAAGCCATGGGCTTTATGTCCAAATTTTTGCCACTCAATAAATAGCCGCAACACTTTTTATTGAAATCACCCTCCTTCTTAGATTTTTCTTTCTAGTTTCCCCATTTTTTCCATCTTGTAAAGAGACAAGTTATAGGAAACAAAAGAGTGGTCAAAGGGTCATTGAAAATACCTATCAAACGCACTGGAAGAGTACTCTATGTTTGTGTGTACCGTTCCTGTACGTAATATCTATTGAGTTTAAAAAATCATTATTTATAAATCTAATATTTTTTTTCTTTCTTTTTTTCCTTTTTTCTGTTTTCTTTTTGACAAATGACCATGAAATAGTATGTATAATAATCGATACCATAATTTAACATAAAATTAATCTTTTACAGTTATGTAACTCTGTTTGATGTAGTTTATGAATAATAAATATTGTGTTTGCGTTCATGGTAGATGAACTACATTCTTTTCGAGGTAAGATTTATCGCTATAGTCACCTTCATTCCTGTTATTAATATTAATATATGTCTATAGAATTACTGTACGTTTACTGCTTGTAAATTTAGACCCGGACGACCTGTTTCTTTATTAAGGTATGATGTGTTTTTTTATCTTTTTTATACTCGTTATTAACGTTAGTTCTTATTATAGGTAAGTACCGCCCAGACGCGTTTGTCTATAACAGTTGTAACTACTAGCTCAATAAGTTGGTATGGGCGGGTTAGTTTCGTCTTTCATCTGTAAAACCAATCTGTGCGTTATTTATTCAAACATTTGTGGCTCTTTTTTTCTTTTTCTTTTTTTTTCAATAAAATGTCTTTTTTTTATTCAATATATGATGTCTAAATTTTTGGGTTTACAAGGGTAGCAACTCGTGAACTGAATACGTAAACTGTATTATTATCCAATAGAATTATTTGCCAAAACCATCGTTTGTAATCATCAGTATCGGTCCAAAAATGCGACCGATTTCTTACAAAATCTGTCCAAAAATGCGACCGATTTTTTATAAAATCGGTCCAATTTTTGGACCGTTACCGCCGGTCTAACTTTTTCATTTTTTTTTAAAAAATTGGACCGATAAAAAGTTTCACAGTGTGATTAGTACCAACAGTAGGTGGATCACCACAGAACCATTTGCAAGACGATTGGTTATCATTCTGGGCGAGTTACCCCATTGATTGTTAAACGGGGCGGGATTTTTCCAATGCAGGCAGTGTAGTTGTCATGAACTTACTCGCTCTGTTTATTGTCCGCATAACTTAACCATGATCTCAAACCCCTTGTGAAACCTTGTTCTAGAAATTAATATCAATATCTCTTGTCCGCTACCAAACTCTCTGTAAAACCTTGCACCAAAAATCATATCAGTATATCTTGCCCGCCACCGAACTCCTTGTAAAACACATCATTAATCTGCTTCTGAACATTACTCCCGCTTCCTGTCTGACTCAACCTTAGTGAACCTTTTCCCGATCATCTTTTATCTTTATTCCTAATCCAGTTTTTCCGCCCGTGTCAAACCATAAATATTCCCCGAACCATCATATTATTCAATGTCAACTAAATCCAGCCTGTTACTACTCGTCAAATCTCAATTACTCATTCTTGTCAATAATCTACTCATGATATCTGTTCCGTAAAGTCCCTTGTTGATCTACAATTTAAACCCATCTTAGTTTTTCCCATGTATAAGAAATAGTATAAATAGATGCTAGTTATTTATTAGAAAAACATTATTCTGGATCTTAGTCCTAACCCCTCCCCCTCTTAATAAATAAACCTATTTTATTTTAACCAATCGCCCCCCTCATGTTGCAAGTAGTTTCTGTGTCTTGTTCCTGTTCCGTCCGTGACAGTAGTACTGGACTGTATGAGAAAAGGTCACTCACCAATAATTTGGATGCTTTTTTTTTGGGAATCTTTGGTGGTTGAAAGATAACCTGGAGCGGTAATACCAAGGCAGTGGCGTGTTTGAGCGGTGTAGATTCGAAGTTCCTGGGAATACAATCGATGGTAGCATATATGATATCCAATGTGTTAATTCTGGCTTTTGTAAGGCCAGTGGATTTCATGGTAGGCAGAAGAAGTGGAATATAATGGTGCTGGGTCAAGTGTCTATTCCGAATATGTATTTTAAGCATTTATGTTAGCTGATGATTGGAATTATTGTCCGTTAGCAAGAGAGTTGTCCATCGAACAAAAAGTGTATGGTATTGTGCTTTTGGGTCTAAAACACCCAGACCCCCCAGTTGTTTTAGTGCTGTCCATACCGACCAAGGTATGACGGGAAAGATATTCGATCGGCAGAATTGTATAGCGACGGATGTAATCTGAGACAAATCATGCTTGGTCAGTGGTGTGACCCTGAGTAGATACCAGCATTCTGAAAGGAGTAACGAATTTAAGATCGTAGCTTTACCAACTACAGATAATGACCTTGACAAGTGAAGATTTTCTGTTGCCTTAAGTTTACTGATTACAGACCCCATATAGTTTCGTCTCTGTTGGGTAGATTAAATCATGGGGAAACCAAGGTAAATGATTGGATCCGGGTCATCCGCACAAATTAGCTTGTCTATTTTCAGTAGTTCAAGAGGTTGTTGCCAGTAGTCCCACAATTTGTCACCCGAGAGAGAGAATGCCTCAATTTTATTAAAATTAAACTTGGCATTTGAGGCTTCACAGAAAGTGTCCATGTTGTGATATTTGATAAAATGCACGTATAAAAATAATGAGATAAAACGAATATTTTTATTAGGGTAAAAATAGACTAAAGAACTCTGCTGCTATGAAATAATCAATCCTTTTTATATTGCCAACATCTCCTGGATTTATGATGAGTCAACCTTTCTGGTTTTGGAATAATATTTTAGTCTTCCATCTTGCGTTATCTAAACTCTACTCGTTAGAATTGATTAAAGGTAACGCTGTTCCAGATGTGTGAAACGGGAACACGAGTATTCTGACAAATACTTGGTGCAGTGGCACACTTCTTTGTAAGATCGTGTAACGGATACTATTAAAAGATACATACTTGTTTGTGAAGTGTAATTGGCAATAGAACATAATAGTTGTAATTGATAATTTATGCTTTAATTTTCTAATGCATAAAATACGATCCCAAATATAGAATATCTTATCGATATTCGTATATTTGGTTGTAGAAGATAGGTATCCATTAATCCATACACTATTTCTTTATACTCTTTATAGGCAGTATAATTATATCAACATATAAGTAAATGAACCATTTATACTAATAGCTGTTCTATTCTCTCTATGGGTAGCTAAGCCATTGAGAGAACTATTAATATTAAGTTTCTCTTTCTTATAATTCTTGATTTGATCTGAGAAGTTTCTCTTCTCGATCGGTGATATCGTAACTCAGCGGTATAGCTTTCTGTATCCAACTGTCATTCGTATATCGTATTTAGGCCAATCATGTAATCTTTAATATAGAAATATGTACTCGAAGTAGGAGAAGTTGTGTAGCAGTATACATGTGTATGCTGGTATGCAACATTGAAGGTTCTTTTTTTATTTCATAATTTAATTATTTGAACGATTTGCTTATTTATTCTTAAGTGAATCGTACCCAAATACGACAGGGTCAAAGTCTCTGGTAGCTGAAAATCTTCCAGTTGAACCAGCTTTACTTTTGTCGTTTGTCATAGAGATATATGTTAAGCACTACAAAGAAGAAAAAAGCTTTTTTCTCTCTTCTCTCAGAAATGGCAAAAACTAGAAAATCTGGAGTTAGATTTTAAAGACCGGTGTTAAATCAGAGTTTTATTGGATAATATTGTCCAATCACACTTCTATTTAACACCGGAGTTTCCCCCAGGCTTGTCAGCCCCGCCAACTAGGGAGATGTTACTGTGAAATGGTTAAGCTTGATTTACCTACAATATAGTACACAGGGACCTCGATAAAAGTAACGGATTACCGAAAGCATGACAACTTTTCAAGTGATTTTATCTGTTATTGTAGTTGATTGCAGCATACATTCTTTTGTTTAAGTATTAACAATTTCACCCAAGACACCTTACATTTATCTGAAATGTCTTTCGAAACCTGAAGACATTAGCGGGGATTGGTTTTTTTTTTAAAAAAAATGTACAAGGCATGTTTTTTTTTAATTTATAAAAAACTTCTTTCACAATTAATTCTTTCCAAAAATATGGCTAGGACAGGAAGACCACCTGGAAAAAAAATTCTGTGGGCCATAGAGCCGGAAGACCATCCGCCCCAAAAAGAGTTGACCCCCAACAAACTACTTTATTTCAAAGTATGCGAAAAATTAACCAAAATGGCGAAAGCTCAAGTCAAGCCGATGAGGTAAATTGGATAAATGATTTGCATGATTATAAGAAACTAACAAAGAACGTAGGCTGTGATTGAAGAATCAATAATTCAGGAAAATGTTGATGTTCCCGAAATAAATCTTTCTGACAGCCGTGTAAACGAATTGCCGGCTGTAGATGATCAAAATGCCTTTACTGCGTTGGAAGAAGAAGACATCGTCAATCGTATAATAACCGAGACTGATAGTACTAGTGACGACGAGAGCGTGACAGACGAGCAAGCATTTCTGTCTGGTGAAGTTCAGAATAGTGTACTGTACAACTATTTCGAAGAAGTCCAAAAAAGATTGACAGAAGAAACAATGCCAGCTGAATATAATACTGGTACATTCTGGATTCGTCCCATGCAACCTTTTTTTGCATTATTGAAAAAGAAACCCGTTGAGTATTTGTATCGTCCAGATATTTTCCTATGGATTCCACACTTATTATTAAGCAATAAGATTAATGATTTGTACTGTCCGACATGTAAATCATCTATTGAAACCAAAGGTTTCAATAAGAAACCCCATACTCGCCGCATTGTTGATCTTGACAGGTTAGTCAAACCTGTAAACTTAATTCTGTTTATTTTGGAATATTAATATTAGCTATTGTTGTAATAGATGTTTTTATATTATGACAAAAAGGTACAGATGCCTGAGTAGTAGTTGTGGCAGTACGTTCAATGGATACGATTCTAAGATTATGCGCCAATTACCCATTCAATTGCAGGCTGAATTCCCAGCATATCTTAGTCATAGAGGTGCTGTTTAGAAGCAAGTGGGTGACCTTCTAAGACCCTGCATACAGAACTCGATGGGTCCTGAAAGAATTGCAAAAGTTCTGCGTGAGCTTCACATTTTAAAGCATGATCGCAGTGAGCTTCAATATCCCACTGCCATGAAGGTATCTATTCTATTAATCCTATTTTTTTTATGTTTTGATATTTACATGTTTTATAAAGGCTAAATATGGGGAGCAAAACATTACTCAATTCTTTTCTACCCCAACAATCATCGAACCGTTTTCGTCTTTTGACAACCAAAACGGATATGCAGGTTATACGCCAACTCAGGCATATATTCGAACAGTTTACACCTCCATCATCAAAACGCTTAGACCCAATATGGACAAGCAAATGATGTTGTTAGGTGGAAAGGTCTTGAAAGGTGATTACTCCTTTAAGATTGTTAAACACATGGCGAGCATTGATGGAACCAGCATTTTTACTGCATTATACACGCTTTGTAACGAATTCGAAGAAATCCGAATGATGTTACTGGTACCCACAAAGTCACTTGAACATTTGCGATGGTCTTTCAACGAATTAATGAATGCATACGAAGGCTACAGCCATGAAAAGCCAGTAGCCTTTTATACAGACAGTGTGCGAGGCGATCGACGATTCTTGGAAAGCGTTATACCTTCCTTAAAGGATGGTTGCAGACCTAGTAGAATGGTTAATGATGAAAACGAGAATCAAAATTACAATGTTTTGTCACTACCGGTAAACATTCAAGTAAGCTACTTGCGAAATTATGAAGAGATTGAAAGCATAATGAAGAATTTACTGGCCGAACATTTTCATTTTGTGGTCGGTAGTGATGGATTAGAGAGCTGCCCATCATCGGTCGTCACAGGCTTTGACTGTGAGTGGCCGTATAATAGAAACACGCATGTAAAAGGGAAGCTATCCGTAATCCAGATCGCGCACAATTCGTCTGTACTGGTTATACATCTTGACCCTACTTGGGAAACTTTGCCAGAATCATTGGTATACTTTTTGAAATCACCAGTAATTTTGAAAATTGGACGCCAAGTTGGTCGAGATTTTAAGCAAATCAAGGACTCGTTTGGTGTTGATTGTGAGGGATCTTTTGAGTTAGGCCGGTTTTGTCGATTGAAAAGAGCCATTAGGTCTGGTAGTTTGTCTCTTTCAGCAATTTGCAAAGAGCTACTCGGAAAGGGATTGTCAAAAGACCTTAGAATTAGTGATTGGTCATACGCTTATGAGCTCACTCCAGGCCAAATTCGCTACGCTGCGTTAGACGCATGGGTTTCTTTGGAAATATATGATATTCTAAAAAATACAAACGAGGAAATTATTGGCGACCCGGTAGCTGGCCAGTATGTCTCTTTGTGGTCCTCATTTGGCGTAGCCGCATATGCAATTGTCAACTCATCAGAAACGATTTCAAACAAAACTACAGTTGAAGTTTCTGTTATCTGTATTGTTATTTCTAGCTTTGTAGTGCCTGCAGTAAATGATAATCAGCCAGAGGTGATACTCGAGTCAATAAAGAATAATATTCCGTATACCGTTCTGGTTGACAAGTCGCTCTTGCGTAGCGAGAGCAAGAGACACGTTGATTTAGAGATTAACAAGAAAACCAGCGGACCACCTTCCTCAAATAATATTGAAATAAATGGCGGTATAAATGGAACCTCCGAATCTGTAGTCGAAGATAATGAAGAAGACAGTGGCAATATCTCTGCAACAGCTGTGGCTCGGAATTTGTTCGGTGGTGATGTAGAAGATGTTGATTTGTCAAACTTTGAATACGGATTTAATCAATTTAAAAATCGCCTCACTACTTCAATCAATGAGTCGACAGACGAAAGGCTTTTTCCCAGAGTAGTTAAAGATGTCTTCCATCTTATGGATTCAATTAAAATAGGAGTCAAACACACGCTTAAACTGGAATTTGAAAACAACTTCAGAAATTGTTTGTTTGTATTAGATGCGGATGACAAAGAAAAAGTGTCCATCGTTCTGTCACGCAATGGAACAAGCTTCGAAAATCAATTGAACAAAAACTCCACCTGCATTTGGAAACGGATCAAACGAAATATCCCACCTCCTCATATCTTATATTCCAGTTTGTATAACCTTTTTCTGTCATTTGGTTCCCTTAAATGTACGAAATCTGGTTTACCTTTGTTTGACAAGGTGGCATTTAAAAGTGCAGTAAATGTTCTCGTTGCAGTAAAGGATGAACATGTGTCAGATCTCCCGGGTCTGTCTTTGTACCATGTTCGTGGTAAAGATCGAGACGGTCTAACTTTGTATAGATGTATCCGTGGCACCAGTTCTTTAGAAGGGGGTGTTCATCAAAACATAATTAAAAAATTTGGATCATTTGGAGCAGGACCCGAGTTAACTGATT